CTACACCGCCTGCAAACTCCTTAAGTAAACACGCTCAAATGACAGCCCTGGGCATTCCAAGGCGCGCTCTCTACCCCTGCCCAGGATTAGTAACCACAGGACTCCGACCCCCGAGGTTCGGTTTTGCTGGGCACTCTCTGGAGGGTAGCTCTCACCGCCCCCGCCCCTCCACCCTACCCCCATAGCATCTTTGCGCCTCTCGGCCCCGCGGAGCTCGCTTAGTCTCGCTCGGAGTCAGGCTCGGGTGGGTGATGCTAAGCTAAGTGGATTTCTACCTTCTGGGTCCGTGGCCTCAGTGATGAGGCCCAATCACCGGCTCAGCCATTTTGCGACCAAGGCCTTTAAATTCTGAAAGGGGACAGGCCGCGTCTACTTCCAGAGGGACAGGGTCTCAACGCCCCAGTGAAGACGGGTGGGAGGGACTTGAAGGATGGGCAAGTGTGTGTGTTGAGAGGTGCCAAGCATAGAGAAAGTCAGATCCATTTCTTACCCTTTCCCCAAGAGGGCACACATACCCTGCTCAACTTGATGCCTACAGCAGCAGCCTCAAGGCCTGGGATTTTCAGATAGGCCGAATTGGCTCCGGCTACCCAGCGCACAGCCCCAGGTCCCGGATCCTTGGAGAGTTCTAGCTGAGCCTTCTCCTGCTCGCTCCAGGATGCTGGGTCCCCAAGGCACCCAGACAGTTCCTCGGCCCCTTACCCTATTGGGGCAGGCCTCCCGAACTACAGAAGCCAAAGGCTCCAGGCAGCAGCCGCAACATCCTCCTCCTTGATGGCTTTCTTGCCTTTCCCCCAGCTCCGCCAGATGCTCCCGGGAAAGAGAGGGAACGCGTCACAGCGAGCCAGGCCTGGTGTGCCTGTGGGTGGCACCGCAGGTCTTCAGGAGGGCATCGAGGCGTCCCCCTCCTCCCCCCACGAGTCCCGGATCAGCTTTGTAGGCTCTGGCAACTGGAGGATTCGGACCACCTTTCCCTCCTTCCCTCGGGCCTCAAACCCCCTCCCCTCCCCCGCCACCCGCCAGGGGAGGAGGAAGCCCGGCCTGCATTTGCGAGCCAGGCGGGTCAGACCGGCGCCTGGTCTGGCCCAGACCCCTAGAGTCCGGCTCTCCGCCTCAGGCCACGCGCGGAAGCCTCTCCGGACTCCATCCCTTCCCCCTTCTTCCCGGTGGGTCCGGGAGCCGACCTCGGCCCTCCCTCCCCGGTATCCCCCTCCTCTCTTTTTTCCCTCCCCCTCCCCTGCTCTGTGTTTCTGACTCTGGGGCCGGGCCCGTGACGTCAAACCCAGTGTGGCGTCGGCGAGACTGGCCGGCGCGGGCCATCAAAAGAGCAACGTCCTCTTTCCCAATTACCCACTGTCAGTCCGGGAACAGGGGCGGACCGGCTGGGAATTACATGTTAAATACCCCCTACAGGCTGGCTCCATTACCCGGGGCATCCAGCCTCAGGCCCCCTACCCATCTCTGCCAGCTCCAAACTACCTCAGACCAGGAGGGGCCTACTAGATGTTGTATTTTTTCCAAGGGAGGGGAGTGTCATTTGCATCCAGCGTAGCTCCACTGTGATTGAATTAAAACGAATAATCCTCTCCATCCCCACTACCAAATTTATTAGAGAGGCACCCCAACTAGGGAAGCCTTCCTTTTCAGAAGCATTTTTCTTTTCAGTCTTTAAAAGCAGGTTTAAGCCGCATAAATTAACACGTTCAAGTCTTGGCGTCAGCAGCTTTCTTTCTTGTCTCGAGATGGATTTCTTTTGCTTTTTTTTTTCTTTTCTCTCTCTTGGACTTCTAGATCTCGGTGTCCAAGACCAAAGAGTCATGTTTCCTTGGGGTTTTCCTCGAAGCTGTGAACTAGGGTCAGGCTGACTGGTAGGTGTCCTACACAGCTCAGGAGTGACACAGGAATACTACTCTTTTTTTTTTTTTTTAAACTCTCATCCTTAATCTTAATCCCGGGCCTTTTAGCAAAAATGTTTTCTGCTTGTTTATGGAGCGGTTTCCGGTGACTGTTAGACAGCAGCTAAATAATTAAAAGGTTTTGAGAGTGCCGTGAGCTGAATGAGATGCTGGCAGCTTGATTGGCCCAGGAGAGATGAGTTGGTCAAAGAGCGAAAGTAAAAATCAATATTCTAAGACTGGGCCGTCCTCGTAAAAGAGAGACAAGGGGTGCAGGATGAACTCAGAAGGGAGATTTATAAATACATACATAAGGTATCTTCGTATTTTTTTTATTTAGACGTTCAGCCTTGATTTCAAATAAAGATCAGATATAAAAGATGAGGAGTCAAGAGACACCCAAACTCAAGCCCTCAGGGCACATTTCCAAGTCATTTTGTCTTTTTCAAGGGTTGTGCTTTAAAAAGAACGCACCCCTCCGACCCTCCGACACACCGGTTTCAAGGTAGACACTGATGACTTTTCTCCACAGCAGGGCAGGAGTTATTGAGAACTTTTTAGGAAGTGCTTGTCAGGAATCGAAGTCTGATATTGGTGGGAGATTTTAAGGGGGGAAAGAAGTGAAGAGGGAACGACAGCATGAATCCCAGCAGCCGTCCAAGCGATGCTCTTTGCCCTGGAGGGTGGAAGAAAAAGCGCCTTTTCCTACGTTGCCCTGGGGTGCACCCCGAGTCTTTTCCCGCCCGACCTTGCTTGTCCCGGCTGTGTTTTCCGGACCCAGGCTGCAGAAACCTCAACGCCACTAGGGGATGCAGTGACTCAAAGGACCGAACAAGGCCTCAGAGGTTGGCGCCCGTGGGGCGGGGCGACTGCGGCCCGGTCGTGGTCTCGCCCGATGATTGGTTCTTAGGACGGCCCCGCCCTCGTACAGCCCCGCCCCTCCACAGAGCGCCCTGCAGCAGCCCAGCCTGCGTCAGCCCGCTGCCCACCCAGCAGACCCGGGCCCCGAGACCCCCAGAGGCCGGGGAAGTTGCTGGGTCCCACCCCGGAGGCCAGGATGAGGGACTGTGGAGCGGACTGTCCTGGGGTGGAAGGCAGAGGAAAGTAGGGCCTTGAGCTCGGCGAGGGGAAAAGTTAGGCCACGCGAGCAAAGATTCCAAGTTAGTTTCACACGGAACTTCGGGGACCCGGGAGCCGGGGTCTCACCCACCCGGCTTTCTATGCGCCACATCGTCACCCAAGCCAAAAGCGCACAGCGCTTATACGGTTAGATCTGAAAAAGGACAGCTGCAGCGGCAGACGCCGTTCGCGCTGGAGAGGTTCGTGAGAGCAAGCAAAGACCACAACAGCAGCAACGCGGGCGTCGGAACCAAAACCCAGGTCCTTCGCGCGATTTAGCAGCCTCCCAGGAAACTGGTTTGGGAGGCCAACCTTCAGTTACTTTGCAATGAAAACTTTTCCGATCAGTTTGTTTTTTTTGTTTTTAACATACACATACCCCCTAAGCTGATATAAACTGAAAAAAAAAAAAAAAAAGTCCTGGCTTGAATCCTAATTTCAAAGTTTGCTCATTTTGAAAAAAGAAAAAAAAAGCGTGGAAAAGAAAAGTCTGCTTATGGAAATTAGGCTTTATGAATGGGACGCCCGGGTTTCACTGGTACGGAATAATCTACAGAGCCGGAATGAATCGGCTCTGCTGCATTTAAAGGGCCAGAGCGCGAATTCCCTCCTGCCTGTCCCCTCCGCCCCAAGCCCGGGCCGGCCTCGCCCACCCTGCCCGCGGCCCCTCTGCCCTAGGCGGCCCTCGCCGGCGCCCCTTTCCGGTCAGTGGAGGAGCGGGAGGAGGGGCGGCGGTGTGCGGGGGTGGGGAAGGTGGGGTGGGGGTGGCGGTGAAGTCCGGGAGAGGGTTTGGGTTGCAGTTTCCTTGCGCTGGGGATCGCGTCCCCTCCTGCCAGCGCCAGGCTCCTCCCCCTCGGCGCGGATGACACTAGAACCTCCTTAAGTTGCGTCGCGCCACAGCTGTCTGCGAACACTGAGCTGCCTGGCGCCGTCTTGATAGTTTCAGAAAGAATGCATTCCCTGTAAAAAAAAAAAAAAAAAAAAAAAAAATACTGAGAGAGGGAAAGGAAAAGAGAGAGAGAGAGAGAGAAAAGGCTGAGAGAGCGAGACGTAGAGAGCAAGCTGACCGGGCAGGTCACACGCCGCCTCCTCCTCCTCCTCTCCGCTCTTTTCTACTCAGGTTGGTATTGTGACTTTTTTTTTTTTAAAGTTTGAAATCCCTCCCTCCACTTGGAGGGACTTTTTTTTTTTTTTTTTTTTTTTGCGGGGAGGGTGGGGGAGGTCAAATTTAAAGCTCAGCTTTCTCCTTCTGAAGGAGTTGCAGGGGTTGGAAAGATCCCGGGGCCGGTGTCCTCCAGGGAGGATTCGTCCCCAAGTCAGTCCCGGGCTCCCGCGAGCCTGGCAGCTAGAGGTGTGCGGGGTAGCTTGGCTTCCCCTCCCGCTCGGCTCTCTTCGCCCGCGTGTGCGCGTCCCGGTGAGTCGGCCCTGCGGGAAGCTGGAAGGAACCCGGCAGGAACCCGGCGCCCGGCACGATTCAGGTGTTAAAAGTACTTGCAACTCACCGGGGCCTCTCCGTCTCTCCCTTGCAGGTGATCGAAGGAGCTGTCTCCCAGCGCCGAGGGGCCAGTGTGCAGCGTGGCCACCCTTGGGTTCCAGAATCCTCTTTCTTTCTTTCTCGCTTTTTTTTTTTTTTTTTTTTTTTTCATTTGGTCCCTTTATTCCGCCTTGTGTACTTTTTTTTGGGAGGGGGAGGAGGGTTCTCCCTCTTCCTTCTTTTTTTTTTTTTTTTTTTTTTTTTTACTTTTTTTCTTTTTCTTTTTTTCTTCTTTTTTTCTTTTGCTAAACAATCCAGCGAAGATTTTTCTTTCCTCCCTAAACCCTCCGTTTGGCTCACCTTTCCTATCCTCCTCACTACAAACAAGCCATTAAACGATCCCTCTCCCCGGCCTCCGACGGCAGGAGTCCGCGGACCTCCCAGGCCGACAGCCCTCCCTCTACCCGCGAGGGTTCCGGGCCCGGCGAGAGGGCGCGAGCACAGCTGAGGACATGGAGGTGACCGCGGACCAGCCGCGCTGGGTCAGCCACCACCACCCCGCGGTGCTCAACGGGCAGCACCCGGACTCGCACCACCCGGGCCTCGGCCACTCGTACATGGACCCGGCGCAGTATCCGCTGACGGAAGAGGTGGACGTCCTTTTTAACATCGATGGCCAAGGCAACCACGTCCCGTCCTACTACGGAAACTCGGTCAGGGCTACCGTGCAGAGGTACCCTCCGACCCACCACGGTGAGTCCACCCTGGTGCCGGAACCCTCTGCATCCGCGAGTGTTTTCCTGGGTCCCGGGGACCGCCAGAGACTGGCTGGCAGGGCAGAGCAAGCGAAAGCCCCTAAGTGTGTCACTAGTTCATTTAAAAAAAAAATTGAGGCCCGGAAATGGGCGAGGAAGCAGTGTCGCTAGTTGGGAGAGTGGTTGTTTTTTTTTTTTTTAAAGAGTGCAGCAGGCATCTTTCTCTGCGGGTGTTGTCTGGGCCAGTTTCTCACCTGGCAAGCGCTGGGACGCAGCCCTGGTCCGTATGCCGTTGTAGGTTTTGCAGCCCGGGTAGTCTTAAGCTGTGCCTGCAGGCGCTGAGCCCTTCAGGCCGGGCAGCAGTGCCAGGCCGGCTTGGACCTGGGCTCCTCCGAAGGGATTCCAGCTAAGAGTTTTTTGGTGGAAGTGGTCTTCCGCCAGTGCCTTGCCATTTGTTTCTCCTTTTATATTTTCAAAGGCCCAAGCACATGTATTTATTTCTACTTTTTTTGACTTTGCCTCCCCGAAGCTAGTGACTTTGAGTTTTCGGCAAGTTTCCTACCTACTAGTGGCTTGGAGGAAGATAATCTGGTGGTTGACACGGTACTGAGGGAGGAAACCTTAAACTGAAGAAAAGTCAGGCTTGCGTAGACTCCCGGCTACACAGAAGTTTCCTACTGTCTTTGCTTTTAGCTTAACTGCCAGCAACCCTGGCCACATTTTCTCCTCTGGCCTACTGCGGTTCCAATAGGCTCCTCAAAGATTGAGGATACATCAAAGTTTCTTTTTAAGTAGGAGAGTTTTCAGTCCCTCCCAACCCCCAAACCATTCACCTTGAGAAGTTTAGGGAAGTTCTGAGGTGTTTAAAACAACAACAACAACAACTCAGGCTTGTGTGGTTGGGACAGGGGACTCTTAACATTTCCCAGCTGTAAGTATGTGCTTAATAAACGAGCAAAATACCGAAGGGAAGAAATTGTGAGGTTTTCTCAGTCAGCCGGAGGTCTGCTCAGGTCTTCCCACCCAGAGCCAGCGTTGGCGCCTATGACACAGCCCCTCAGGCAGCAGGCATCCTCTGCCTTACAGCCGCCAGGTTTCTGCGGACGGGGTGCTCTCTGCTCCGGTTGTGTGCAGATGAGCAGTTAAGTGGAAATGAGGTAGATCAGACCTAATGTTATTTACTATACTACTTCCTGCATGAAAAAAAAAAAAAAAAAAAAAACCTTAACCCTTGGCATTCAAAAGAATTCTCCGTCTCTCTTGACTCCCCTCCCCTTCCCCTCGCTTAAGATTTTAGTTTCAGTATTGTTCTTAATGGTTGACTAGAGTGTCGAATGCTGAGGCAGATAGTGGATTGAAAAGATCGATAAGAGTGTAGATTTGCGCTTGGAGTTTAAAGGTTCCCCTATCAGAGAGTACGGAGTTGGATAACCCATGAATGCCCTAAAATTGTGTATTTTAAGTGAAGGCTAAACATACTCTGTATATGAGTCACCCATGGTTTGAAATAAACACATAAACTGGGATTTTGTGTCTCAGGTACAAAAATTCACATACCACCCCTGTGAACAGGATAGTCTTGAGGGTCTAGGGATTTTGTTTTATTTTCTTTTCCTGTAAGATTTGGAAGGGTGAGAAAAGAGCAGGGCGTGGGGGATCCCAGAATTCAGATATGGATAACCTGAAGGGTCTGGGCAATGAAAATGTCCACGCAAATTTCCTTTTTAGGCCTTCTGGAAGCAGTGTTGCCAGTTCTAATCAAGCATTGAACACTGCTGAAATTAACTCTCAGATGCACCCTGCCTTCCTTGCGTTAGGTGTTGGGAGTTGGGCCTCTTTGGGGTAGAGCAGTGGTGCGGGCCCACCTCATCCTTCGGGCCTCATCATTCACACTGACTCTTATCAGCCCGGTTGGGATTAAGTCTGCGGTGAGAGAATCAGGGCCATTGAAAGGAACCAATAAATCAAGGCAGGTTCTAGGGAGAGAGAGAATGGACTCCAGGGAATCTGGTTTAGACTGCGTATTTCAACAGGACAAATAAGCCAAGGCACCTTTTCTCCATGTCCTTGCAACTCCTTTGGAGCATTTAGGAGCAGGCCTTTCGTTTTAGAGTTGATAGGTGTGGACAGGGCCTGCTTCCATCTTGAGGTGTGTGGGCCTGGTACTCCTGGGACCACGGAGATTATAGGAGGTTTGAGCCCTCTGGCCTTTGGGCCAGGAGGTTGTTGACTGGGAGGTTGGGGGCGCCAGGGGGAGAATCTCCAGGTGTGTCTGAGAGCAGCTCTCACTGCTGTCCTCTCTTTTCTCCTCTTTCCCCGCCATCGCTGGCGTCGCAGGAAGCCAGGTATGCCGCCCGCCTCTGCTGCACGGATCCCTGCCTTGGCTGGATGGCGGCAAAGCCCTGAGCAGCCACCATACCGCTTCGCCCTGGAACCTCAGCCCCTTCTCCAAGACGTCCATCCACCACGGCTCTCCAGGGCCGCTGTCTGTCTACCCTCCGGCTTCATCCTCTTCTCTGGCCGCGGGCCACTCCAGTCCGCATCTCTTCACCTTCCCGCCCACCCCTCCTAAGGACGTCTCCCCAGACCCGTCGCTGTCCACCCCGGGATCGGCCGGATCGGCCAGGCAAGATGAGAAAGAGTGCCTCAAGTATCAGGTGCCGCTTCCTGATAGCATGAAGTTGGAGGCGTCCCACTCCCGAGGCAGCATGACCACCCTGGGAGGGGCCTCGTCCTCAGCCCACCACCCCATTACTACCTATCCGCCCTACGTGCCCGAGTACAGCTCCGGACTCTTCCCACCCAGCAGCCTGCTGGGAGGATCCCCTACCGGGTTCGGATGTAAATCGAGGCCCAAGGCGCGATCCAGTACAGGTAAGCGCCACCTCCACCCCGGGAATCTTTCTTTTGCTCCCTCCTGTTCCCATCACACCCGGGTCAGGACAGAAAGGGGGCTTCCTTCCCTCCAAAATAAGGATCTCTGGGAGGGCTACAGGTATTGCCCAGTCCTTCAGAGATCTACTTTCTTCCGTTCTTCCAGCCTGGGAAGAATGTGATGTGTCTTAACTCCCACTGACTTAGGCTGCAGAGGGGAAGTGTGATCTAATTGTAATCCCCCCTCCACACCCTCCCCACCCCAGTGAGCTGGGAAACGAAAAAGACTAACAAAAACAAATGGGTACCCTCTCCTCCTGCCAGCTGAGGGACTTCTGGATTCTACCACTAACCTTTAGTTTCCAAGACCAAATGGAAGGCCCCAGGAATAAATCTGTAGTGTTTAAAGCTAAAACGAAACCTCCTCCAACCTAAACAAACACAGGTCCCTTCTATGACCCCTTTGGCCTCTGGCAGTGGGACTGTTCCTCTTCCCCTCCCCTCACAGAGGGTCACTGGGTCTATAGCCAGGGACTGTCCTTTACAGAGACATGTATAAATAAAGTGTGTGTCTGTGTCATTTGGGAAGGAGGCAGACACTTTGGAAAAGCAGCAGGCTTTGCGTGGAAACGGAACTCTTAGCTGGACTTCTGAGGGAAGGAGGTGGGTTCCTGGTGGGGTGCAGAGCTGAAGGAACGTCAAGCTTCCCTTGCCTAGTCAGTTACCTAGTGTCTTTTCGAACATTCTGTGTTAACTTTGCATGATTCTTGGAGTTGATTGGAAGCCAGGCGAGGTTTACAGAAGGGCTGAAAAAAGATTCTGCAGGTGTATGCTTCCGCTTTCCCTTCCCTTCCCCTCAAAAGCAGACTGTGTTTCCCAGCACCCCGAGAGATTTTTTTTCTATGGAGGATGTTGCAGGAAAAGCATACACATGCAGAATTTTTCTTTGCTTTAGAAACAAGACACATTCGCTCTCAATCCGTGGCTACGAGAAGCATTTCAGTCAAAAGAGATTGTGATCAGACTGAAGTGTATTTTTAGAAGGGATTTTGTGAAGATGGTTATGTCTCATAAGGTGTGTTCTTTTCAGAGTAGGCCACGCCAGCTACTTAGATCGCATAAAAAAAAAAAAAGCAATGGTTACAAAAATAATCCATTGTCTCTGGAGGGCTGGATGAGCACTTTTCAGACTATCATGCTTCAGAGAGGGGTGCTGGGAGCTCAGTGACCAGGAGATCGGTTTTCAGGGTTTTCTTTTCTTTTTCTTCCTTCCTTTCTTTCCCTTTTTTTCTTCCCAGGGTGACATTCAGTCTGACTGCCTGAGCAGGACTGTCTCTATTTAGTTGATATGTTTTAGCTAATCCAATTATTTTCAGACGGCTGCACGCGACAGTTGCATTGTTTATCCTGGGCCAGGAACTTTAATAGAGTCCGGATGCGGTTAGGCTGACAGAAAAACTCAGACCTGCATGTTCAGTACATGAAAGTAGGCAGGAGGGAGAAGGAGGTAGAGCCTCGTTGGTAGAGTCAAAAAGAAAGCTAGAGGAAGGGCGAGCTGAGGGAGGAATGTGGTCTGCTGAAGGTGCCTAGGCAAGAAGAACTGGGTTGTGGGGAGTCGAAGGCGCTGGACTAGAGAGACCTTCAAGGTGCTGGTTGCCTTCTCATATTCTGCTGGAGGGTTGAGAGCAAGGAACCAGGACTGTGTATTTTGAGGTTGCAATAGGGTTTCAAAACAAAACAAAACAAAATTTCTCTCTACTGGTAGGGCTCTGAGGTTAGGGATGAGCCTGATATGGTGGCTGTGAGGGGGAGAGGGGCTGACTTTCCAAGAGACTCACTTTTCCACTTCCTTGGGTTTGCATTTTGCATACTTTTTGTCCTTGGGTTTGATCTGTTTCTTTATCTCATCTTTTCCTGAAGTTTGTGAAGCAGAATGGGGGTTGGGGGGGCAGTACTAGGCCTTTTCTAACCGGGGAACCAGGAATTCCTATGCATGCACCTTGTTTGTTTGTTTATTACTTTGGTGAAGGAGGAAAATCATTGTAATTTGGATTTTTACTTCCTCTTTTTTACTCCCTTCTCACAGTCATAAAAACCAAGAGTGGCACACCTGGCCCACAGAGGGCCTGGGACTTTTGGAGTATAGAGGGAAGTTTCTAGAAGCCCTCAGTATGCAGAGGGCAGACTGGTCAGAATTCTAGTAGAGCAGATTCTATTAGGTCAGCTCCCTTCCTTTCTGCTCCCTGTTCCCTTCCCTTCCTCCCTTCACCTCTTTCTCCCCTTTCCTTTCTGTTTCCTCTTTGCAGATGCATTTGTTGGAGGAAACAGAAAAGAGGGGCCAGTGAGAATTGTTGTAGTGCTTTGGAGAAAGCTATGGTCATTGCTTTCTTGGTGTCTTTGCTTTTCGTCTGGGATCTATCTTTGTGAACAAAAGACAAGGCTGTTGCTGTTGCTTTTATTTTTTTTCTCTGAAGGGCCATCCCCCCCCCCACCCCCCACCCCCGTTTCCCTGGTCACTTTTGGATTTGGGTATCTCCTTCCGCCCTCCTGAGAAGAATATCTTACCCTCCTGCTCCTACTCAGCCCAGTTTCAGGGTTTCGGCCCGAAGCCCAAGGGCCATTTGAAAATGGCTGTTGAATGTCAAGAGGCCTCACTGCTCTGTGGTTCTTGTCACCTAGGAGAGGTGTCTGCCTGGCAGCTCACAGCAGACAGGGGGAGAGGCAAGAGGAAGACAGAAAGCAGGAGAGTCCCTCCATTAGGAAAATTGCCTGTGTGCTAAAGTCACAGTAGAGGCAAGGGGAAATGAAAAGAGAAAAACCCATGCAAGACAGTCGAAAACTTGTGGAGTGAATCAAGACAGAAAATTGCTCTAGTGTGCAGGGCTCTCCGCCTTAGAGCAACCGCCTTCTCTGCTTTCAAGGGCCCTCTGAAAAGGAAGCTGTCTTCCTCCCTCCTGCCTGACAAAGAAAAGGAAATCAGCCTGGCCACAGGCTGGGAGATCCCCCTCAGCAGCGCCAGGGTGCCTAGGCATTCACGCTGCTCAGGGCAGAAGCTTGCTGCCCTTCTGCTGTGCCTGCTACAGGGAGCATGTGGCCAGCAAGCTTCACTGCTCCTTTTTACCCAGTGCTTAGGCAGGGAAGGGCACCTAACTGGCCCCTGTGCAGACAGGATTAAAAAGCAGGCTTTGGCTGGGCCATGGCCCCTTGCTGCTATCTCCCAGCATGCCGGCTGTGGATGCAGTAGACATTTGGGAAGCTCAAGCAGCAAAGCCTCCTGGTCATGGCACTATAGCTGGTACCTCCTCAGCCACCTATCCCTTCCATTGGCCATATCCCGTCAGAGTTTGACCCTACGTGAAAGCTGTCTTTAGTATGAAGCACCCCAGAACCTTGGAGGGGAACCAGGAAAAGTTAACCTCATTCCAGCACCTTTTACTGGATGTGTAAGGTTTTATATCTGGTCTCAGGGGTGTACAACAAACGAGAGTCCTCTGCCCACCCCAAGCTAAGGAGCCTTGTTGTAATCTGGATGGAAAAAAATAAATTACCTGCTTAAATCACTTTTGAAAAAGTAAGTTTACACATGGTCCCTGAGTAATAAGAAGGTGAAGAGGATAATATTTCTCATGGTTTTCTGGCCACTTGCTGAGAGGGTTGAAGTCAAATTGCTAGGATTGTCCCTGGAGAAGGTGGCAGGCCACAGGTGTTTCTTCAGGCTTGATCTGGGGCTTTCCGAAAAGCATTAGGTCTTCTGTCTACCAGGGTAGATTTTGTTCTTTTCCTGAGAAGCCAGAATCACTAATTACTCTTCTGGAGTTTCTTTCTTTACTTTGTCATTGATTAACAGCTCCATACAAAGGGATCCCTCTTCTAAGTGCTGGGGATCAAACCCAGCACCTTGTACAAGCTAGGTAAATGTTCTAGATAGCTTTGGCCTCCTCAGAGAAACCTTTAGGGCTGTTCTCCATTACCTCATCCACCTTGAGCGTCTCCCTCTCATCACCTTGTCCCACCTCTGTGGTGGACCACCCGGAGTGTCCTCGCCTTGAGGACACAAGCATTTTAGTGTATTTCTCCACCTGCCCCAAAGTGGGAGAGGTTCCGCTAGAAAGGATCTTTCCGCCCTTTCGGAAGTTGCAAAGTCTCTTCGGCCCCTTTCTTTTCAGGGATCCCATTCTACTGAGGAACTTTCTGGAGTGGATCCCTATCCCGCTGCAGCCCTGGTTCTGGGAGCGAGCAAACCTGGCTGAGCTGGTTTTCTGTTTGTTTATTTGTGGTTTTGGAAAAAGAAAGGCTGTAGTTGGGCCTCAGTTAATGAGTGGACTAACATTCTCCCCTCCTCGACTGACTTGCTTCTTCTCCCAATCCGTATCTGACCTGCATTCTATTCCCCCCTGCCCTTTTCTCTCCTGGCTTTTCCCCTCTTGCAGATCTCCTTCCTATAGGCTTGTACTGTTTCCTTCCATCAGCTCTTGCTTGGCTGGCCAGGCTGGGGCCAGAGTCTAACTGTGGTTCCTCCAAGAGCAGCTGGGAAGCTATGGGAAATGTTGGTATCTTTTGAAGGGGAGGCTGTGAGAATAAGAGGATGAGTCAGACCTGCTGGGCCTTAATTTATGACTTTGCAACTAGGGGTGTTTACAGTTTTATTGGAAGTTAAAAAAAAATGTGATGTTCTAGACACCCAGTCAGTCAGCCAATTGATCAATCAATACATCCATCTAGTATCTGTTTATCTACCAAGCCATTGATTAATCTTCATTTTTCCCCATTCTAATCTTCATTATTGAGTCAATCTATGTAGAAGCAGCCGATGATGGATGATGAATTGGGTCGCCCTCGCTTGCTTCATTTACTTTTCCTTTTGAGGAAAATGAAAGAAGTCTTCTGCGTTGCAACCCCCCCCCTCCCCGGCTGCTCTCTACTCGGCATGTTCATAGGCAGATGTTTTTAAGGGTCAGTCTTCCTCCTTCCTTTCTGCTCCATCTTTCTCACCAAAATCAAGTAAAGAGTGCTGCAGTCAGTTTGTTACAGGGAATAGCTGTGTCACATATGAAGGGCCGTAACTCTGGAGCACTTTGGAGGTGGGGTGAGACCCAAAAATGTTTGGAAACATTTTCGGTTTTATTTTCCCTTCTGATTTCATGGTGTGTGTGTGTGCCTTGCTCACACAGGGATCCCACAGACCCTCCTCTCAGAATTCTAAATGTCATCTCCTTTTTGTATGCTTTCCTTCCATAAGTGACTTATCTGCGATCTTGTTTCCAGAAGGCAGGGAGTGTGTGAACTGCGGGGCCACCTCCACCCCACTGTGGCGGCGAGACGGTACTGGGCACTATCTCTGCAACGCCTGTGGACTCTACCATAAAATGAATGGACAGAACCGGCCCCTTATCAAGCCCAAGCGAAGGCTGGTAAGTTCTTGGAAAGACTGGACTCATGTAGCCATTCTGTGTTTTCCATGTTGTCTCCCTGGAATGAACGGCTTTGTGCAGGAAAGCGGCAGGGCAGTTTCCTCTCCTTTGTTTTACTCTCCTTCCCTTGGTTTTACCTTTTCTCTCCTCAACCCCTTTATTCCATTATCCAATGCTCTAATCAGGACTTGATGGTGTGGTAGTGTGCTCCTGTAAACCCAGAGTTTAGGAGGTAGAGCCACAAGATCAGGAGTTCAAGGCCGGCCTCTGCCATCTCTTGAGTCTGAAGCCAGCCTGGGTCATGGCATTGATAGTGAAGTAACCGAATTTCAGGATGGGCCCTGTTGTTTCTGTGCTTCTTGGTCTGGCACTGTGAGGATTTTACACAGGTGACTCCTGTGGGAAGTTTTGTGATGCCTGTCTTGACTTGTGGTCTCGTCTAGCCTTTGGTTTTACTTTTTTTGAAACACTGTCCATAGGTCGATAGTTTCTGGCTCCCACCACACACTCCTTTTTCTTCTTGAGCTTTTTGATGATTAAAAGTACTTGAGAAAACCTCAAACCATTGAGCATTTATAAAGAAGGCAAACAGGAGGCATTTGTTTGTAAACTTGACTCTGGGACCTTGGGCCGACTGAACAGTGTGAGTGTATATAACAGACACAATAAGAGAAGTTGGCAGGGGACGCCTACCCACAGGCAAGATCAAAATGCTGAAGCTCACTGAGCTGAGGGGAAGAATTTCCCTATGCAGACTCCAAGGGGGAAAAACAGAGCGAAAAACCAAGAGATAAGACTCCAGCACTCCTTTTTAAAAGCATTATTTGTCTTCCCTGCTAGACAGCAGCACAGTTTAACACCTTTCACACCCTCTTCAGAAAAGAGGAAAACTTTCTAGGGGTGGAAGTGCCAACATGACTTTAAATTTTTTTTTTTTTTCAATCTTAGATCTCTAGGCTTCATTCTATCTAATCTTTGCCCTTTTCTCCAACTGTCTCAACCCCCCCCCCCACTTCTCATGCAGTTTAGGTTTTTTTTTTCCCCCTTTCTCTTATGTGCAAAGCCAACTTCCTAGGAAAAAGCTGCCGGATATCTGAGTGCTACAGATAACTCATAAACAACAGCTCAGCTTCCCCAACTTAAACTTCAAGATGCTTAGACAGATCAGAACAAGAAGCATTAAAAAAAAAAAAATAGCTGGAGGTGTTAGCTCAGAATGAGTGTGATCACACCACAAAAGAATGCCATGAATCATTCAGAACCGAGCCTAAGTAAAAAAACAAAACAAAAAAACCCTCAACAAACAAACAAACAAACAACCCCCCCCAGACCAACAACAAAAAGATTCTTGTTGAAATAAGTCTTGGTACAATTACAGTTTTCAATTTTAAAGAGAAAGACACCTAAAAAGTTCTGAAAAGTGTCGGTTTTCTGAAGGATAAAGGAGAATTTATCTGTCGGTAGAGAGAACACAGGGGAGGGTTCTACTTCCATGTTATAGAGGTTTGCCTCCACTCATCTTTCATAGGAAGTCTGTGGAACCCTTCAGGGACAATTGCTTTTAATTCTAGTGTTCAGAGGCTGTCACAATTTAAGCTGTCTATCTTAACCTCTGGTGAGGGGAGGTATGACATTTTCATTTCCATTACAAGTGACATGCTACACAGAGACCTACAGACATTTCTCTCTCTTTTGATGTTTATTTGTGTGTGTGTGTGTGTGTGTGTGTGTGTGTGTGTGTGCGCGCGTGCGCGTGCGCGCGCCACAGTGAATGTGTGAAAGTCAGAGGAAGAGTCAGTGCTCTCCTGGGGACTGAACTCATATCATCAGGCTTGCTGGCCAGCACCCTTCCCCTCTGAGCCATCACAGCAGTTTTTCTCCCTCCCCTGTTAGATGCACTCTACTTAGAAACTTCTGGAACCGTTTTTCTTTTCTTCCTTTTTCCTACCTTCGTGCTGCGGTGTAGAAGCCTAGGCTCATGCATGCTAAAAACATTGGAGCTTCATTTTCAGCTTTCTTACTTGTCCTGACCCTTCACTTCTGCTCTGCCTTTCTGGCTTGCTAGTTTTGCTTCACACATTTGCTGACCTACTGATGATCACCCAACCCGTAAAGTAGCTAGCTTCTCTGTGAGATCAAACACTGACACAGAAGAGATGACTGATGGCCAGATCTGTAGCTTTCCCCAGGGCTAGTGTTCCAGAATTTTCTTATGTCTTATAACTAGAAAGGGTTGAGTACCTGGCCTCCTTTGAGGACTTATTGAAGTCCCTGCCACATAGCCCAGCAGTGTGGTTCTGTGTGATTCTGAAAGTTTGCATCAACTCTGTCTTTCCAGAGACATGTGTGAATGAATGATATTTAAAATGTACTGCGAAGGATTATTTATGTATGTACTGAATTCTTTCTTTAGAGCACTCATTGTATTAGTTGGCTTTATATATTTACATAATACATTCAAAATCACTGAGCTGGGAGCCTGAGTGGACACTGTTGCGTTTTATCTGAATATTTTCTCTGAAACAGCATCGGAAGGTGATAATAATCACATGCAACATGATTGTCACAAACCATTAGGCATTGGTTTTCAGTAGGACTTTCTTCAGCGAGCACAAGAGGGAAATCGTTATTTAACTATCAAATGATCACATTTCACAAAGGCAGGTGGCCAAAGGCACCAGAATCAGCATCAACACTCTTGGGTCTTAGTGACTAGTGACGTCTTTTCAAAATAGCACAAAAGCAGCACCTTATCCACAATGATGGAGAAGGGCTGTTTTTAATTTCACTTCTTTACAATTCCAAAAGGAATTACTTAAAAAAGGTCCAAGTTTGGCTATTTAAAGCCCATGGGTGCAGATCTGCAGGACAACCTAGGGGCTTTGAAAGAAAGACTATGTCTGCTGGATTCAGAGTCGCCACTGGGTTTTCCAAGCACGCCTTTGAGCATTTCCTGGAACTTTGTGCCTGATACACTATTGATAAAGACTAAGGCAAGGGGCACTGTAGTTTTACTTTCCTGTTCTTAAAGTCATAAGAGAATCTATTTTCCTTCCTTCTTCTTGCCATCCATTTTTTTTCTACCCACTTTCTCCTTCCTTCTCTTCTAATTTTCTTGTCTTTCTTTTTTAGGCAGCTGGGACTCTAGCCCAGGCCTTTTGCTATTGTTAAGCATCCCTTCCACAGGGCCAAATCTCCATCTCTCCTCCCCACCCCCCAGAAGTTCCTCCTTGTAACTGAATGCTTTGCTTCTGTTCTTTTTATTATTATTATTTTATTTAATTTATATATTTATTTATTATAACTTATTCATTTTTTTTTTTTAACTATTAATTTTGAGCTCAGGATCCAGACTCAATTTGAGTTAACATTTTCTTTTTCAGGGTGGGAAAGAGGGGGTCATTTTAGAAGTGACAATTCCATCTTCTTTTTAATTTATGTGTGAGTATATGTGTGGGTGTGTGCATTCGAGTGTGTGTGTGTGTGTGTGTGTGTGTGTGTGTGTGTGTGTGTTTGAGTGTATGTGTATAGGACAAAAGATAACTTGTAGAAGTTGGCTCTTTCCTTCCAGCACACGGGCTCTGACGATTCAGGTTGTCAGCCCAAGTTGTGGGTGTCGTTAACTGTGAGCCATCTGAATGGCCCACAGTTCCATTTTCTTTCAATAGTTCTGAGTTTAATTTTTCATTTAAAAAAAAAAATGTGCTTAGAAAAGTTGCCTGACAAATTCAAGTGCACAAATGTTAAAAACAATCTCTCCCTGTTAAAGAAAAGCAGAACTAACGTCATTTTAATGTACTTTTTGAGACAGGATCTCTGCAGCCCACAGTGTCCTGTAGCTCAGGACGGCCTCATACGGGTGACAATCTTGCTTCATTCAGCCTTACAAGCTTTCAAGTGCAGGAATTACAGGTGTGACTGAGCCACTAGGCCTGCATAAGCAAGGAATTAAAATTCAAGAGGAGGCTGATATTTGGCCTATGACTACTTTCCATCTCCCTAGAGAACAGCAAGTAGGAAATACCTGACTTCATCCAAGCGACAGGGGACCAGAGTCGGGGGTGGGGTGGGGAGGGCAGGTGCTGTCCAGGATTTCTACTAAATATTCAAAGAATCTTTTTTTGTTTTTGGATTGTTTCATTACATGACGGCTACCTACCTAAAAAAATTGAGGGTGGCTGTCTTGTGTGGGATGGCTACAGGGCAATTGGGCAGGGTCTTGTTGACACAGAAGTCCTGCCCCGAAATCATGGTACCCTGAGTTCTCTACACACACACACACACACACACACACACACACACACACACACACACACACATGCATGTGCACACACAAGCACAGAGGCATGAGTATACACATGCACACACTCAAACACACACTCACACAGCCACTTATCCTCACACACACATACACACACTTCTGAAAGGGAAAATTTACCCTGCAGTTAGAACTCTACTCTCCAGAATCAAGTTGTTTTTTTCGTGTGTTTGTTTGAGATGTAGTCCTTAAAATATCTGGATTTACACATCAGTCTATAATTTATTATTTTAGTTCAGCACACAAAGTATTCATCAGGGCTTCATCAGGCTATTGTCCCGTCATCGTACATGTGTATAAGCATAGCTTATTCTCACTTGCCTCCCTCTTTTACTGTGCCTTCCTAGCCAGCAGTAAGCCTCCTGCCCCAGCCTCAGAGTGCTGGAATTCCAGGCAAACACCACCATGCCCAGCTAATTCAACATTTCTTGAGTTGGGAGTCTAGCCAGTGGTTTCTTAGCTCAGCTTTGCTTTCCCCTTGCTGGGAGTGTCCCGACAGCCAGTAGCTGAGGTAGAGATCAATAGTTTTGATCGTCTTTCTTGAAAAAGAACTCTTATGGGCCTGGGAATGATGAGTGGAAATGACTAACGGCTTGGTACCAGAATTAGCCCTGCTAATTGGAGATTGTCACTCTTAAAGTTGAACTTGGCGGCGTATTGAGGGAGTGGGTAATGTCCCCAAGGAAGTGACATTGGCACCCTGCTTCTCCCCAGTTGTGTTCTGGGAGAGAGCAAGTTTGGCATTTGCCTGCTCAGGTCCAACAAACCCCCAGACACTAAACTGGCTGCATCTTTCTTCTCAAGGATGATCTGGGCTCTTGATGACTTTCATGTGGGCCACTTGCTAGTTTTGATTTCAATGTCTTTTTTTTTTTTTTTTTTCATTCAAGCCTGTCTCTGTAGCTCTGCTGATACATTTGCTATTTGTTTCAATTTTATCCTCTCCTCTCTCCCCACCCTCCAGTCGGCAGCGAGGAGAGCAGGGACATCCTGTGCGAACTGTCAGACCACCACCACCACCCTCTGGAGGAGGAACGCTAATGGAGACCCTGTCTGCAATGCCTGTGGACTCTACTACAAGCTGCACAATGTAAGTGGGGCTGGAACCAGCCATGGTCGAGGATGGGGAGGGACCCTGACCGTGATCGTAAAACAGCCCCAGCATCCAGCTTTCTGGTGGGTTTCAGTCACCCTCTTTGGAGTTGAGTGGTTTGTTTAGATTATCAACATAGTAGGGCTGAATTTATTATTTGTATCTCTTGGTCATCCTGAGTCACCTGTTTTATAAATACCAGGCTAGCTTTGAACTCTTCATGTAGAGGGGGCCGGCCTTAAACTCCTTCTGGTTCTCCTGTTTCAGCTTCCAGGGTGCCAGGACTACAGATGAGGCCAGTCATTACATGTGGCTGAATAGAGTTTTAAAGATATCTTTGCTAAGAGGAAAGGGGTTAGAGACAGAGGGGAACCTGGGTTTGGAATCATTCCTATAATCCTGGCAATTAGAATGCTGAGACAGGAGGACCGCCGTGAGTTGGAGGCCAACATGGCATAACTAATACAGGGTCAGTCGAGGCTACATGACAAGATACTGCCTCAAAAACAACAACAAAATGGAGAAGAATGCAGCCAGCTACCCACTTAACATGTTTTACTCAGTTTTTATGTGAGCTTAAAACCTGATAAATATTGTATAGGTTTTAAGGGGGGGAACATCTTGGAAAACAGAAAAATTATCAGCTCTAAAGCCAGGTCGGATGGCAGATAACTTTAATCCCAGTGCTTGGAAGACAGATGCAGGTAGATTGCTGGGAGCTCTGGGCCAGCCTGGTCTGCAAAGTGAATCGTCAGACAGCCAGACAAAACAGAACAAGAAATCACCAATTCTGTTTTGATATTCCCTTTCATGGCTCGAGGTGAGGCTGGGTGGGCACTGGTCGGATTGTTTACCTCTCTTGCAGGAGGAAGGGACAAAGATAAATAAAAATAAATGTGCTGTGCTGCTGTCTATCTCTGAGCCAAATAGGACAGACAGATTTGGTTACTGGTGAGAAAAAGCTTTGGCTGTCTCTGTGCTGTGAACTTCAAATGTTCCCCTGTGTGACAAACATGAGCTGAAGTTTCATTGAATGTCTTTGTCCCAACCAGTTTTGACATGTGAACAACTAAGGGAAAGAGTGAGGTTGGAACGCTAGGGAAAACAAGTGGTTACTTCTCCTTTCTAGACACCATTAGCAGAATGATAACTGCCAGTCACCAGATTCTAGCTGGATCTACTCCACCATTTTTTTTTTCTTTTTCGAAATGGGGATCTCATATTGCCTAGGTTGGCCTTGAACTCACTTTGTATCAGAAGACAGCCTCAAATGTATAGTTATTCCCAAGAGGGTGGGGGGAATGTCACCTGCCTCCAGTTTCTCAACTTTACCTGATTCTCCTGAAGTCTTTTGCCTTTGGCAGAGTCTGGAAGGAATGAGGAAGAAGCAGAAATTTTTGCTTGTGGCTATTCTGGCAGTTAACTCTCTTTACTCAGGAATACCTGAGAATTGAAGAGGAAGCACCCCCCCCCCTTCTCTGTGTCTTTCTCTCTGGGATTCCATGGGAGTCTAAACTCAAATCTCTTGACATGGTCCCCAGTGTAAGGAAACTTGAGGCTTCCCAAGAAGGATCTTCTGTGTCCCACCCCCAACTCCTGGGGCCATGGGACACCTGCTTTCAAATATGGGGCTGAGGAGGTAGAAAGATTTATGATCAGAATCTGGTGGGGCCGGAATATTCTAGTATATTAGCTCTCCATGCATCCACAAAACCCATGTAGTTATTTTCTGAGCTACAGTTTCCAACTAAGAGTTACTTGACAAGGTGTGAGCCTTAGAAAGTCCTGAGACGTAGACTGGGCAAAGACTATTTCAGTTGTACTAGAAGAGCACAAGGTAACATAACTGATGAAGTCGGGGCTGATCTCAGGGTGTTAAAGACCTTGCTCAGAGGTTGGGAGCATCAGGGGTGTCGGGAGACTTGGAAAAAGAACCTGGCCGTGCAACACGACCTCCATGAACTGCCGTGTGCGTGTATTTCTTTACCACCTTCATGGAGTCATAGAATCACAGGAAACTAGCTAGCTATAATGTTTTTAGATAGTAGTGATGAGCTACGATGAAGCTGCTTTCTCACATAAATATGTGTGTGCATATTTTTGAGCAATAATGAGCTCTTCCCCAGTGGTACCAGGGATGGCACACAGAGCTTTATGCATGTGAGGCAAGCGTTATTTAGTAGAGTCACGCTCGCTCTCAACCTAGTGACTTTTTCTCTGTTACTCATTCCTCTCTTATTCTCCCCTGGACCCAGCAGTCTCTCTGCTTCAGCCCCCAAGTGCTACAGTTATAAGCTTAAAGCGACGGGGGAGGATTTTCTCATTCAAATGTGTGCAGTTTTTGTTTTTGTTTCCCCCCCTTCTTCTGCCTTTTGGCTTAGTAAAGATTCATCAAAGGAGGCAACTTAGGTGTATTTAACAATAAGATAATAATCTACGACCATTTTCTTGGCGTGCGATTCCTCCTGCCCATGCCGTGTCTACACATGTATGCCACGGGCTCCTCTCTTCTTATCTGGGTGTTCAGATGATTACCTATCTCTCCATCAGCGTATCTAGGTGTGTTGTGACTAGCTCTCTGTGGCCGTGTAGCTATTGGTATCACCAGATATTATATTTAGATATCTGACTGTGTACATCTAGCCATCGGTGTACACAGTGGTGTATCTAGGCATTATCTTAGGGAAGGTCTGATGCGGGAGCGGGTACCTGTCATCTCTGTGGGCGGTGTCTTTATCTTCCTGACAACCTGAAGAAGGAGCTCTGAGACATTTCTCTGGCACTGTCTTCGGCTCTTTTGCTTCTACTCACCCTGTCTTCCTGTCACTGGGGCAAATAAAGTCTGAGGCTCCAGTGTGGGGCTCTCTATTCCTCTCTGGTGATCTCTGCAAGCACCAGGAAGCCATGTGCTTAACTGCGCCCAGAAACTTGGTCCTTGTTGGGCGTTTGAATCTTTCCTTCCTTAACTGTCATTTCTAGCCTCAGGAGCAGAGAGGTGAATACAGGAGCCAAGACAGTTTTTCTTCACATTTGAGAAGCCTGATGTCTGGGTTCTTTACCCTTAGGATGGCAGGCAGAACCGGGCCCTGCTTGCCTCTTGTCAAGAGTCTTGGTTGCATCCCTGGGAACACAGCCAGATATGCAGTTGATTCTTTGCAGCAGATGTGTACTGGTGACATTGACTTGCCTGGCTCTTCATGAAGAGGAGCCTCTGTTAGCTTTGTGAAGTCCCATCCTTGATTCTCCAAACTATATGCATTTAAAAAGGATGCTTAGTCAGGAACCAAAAAGATGTTCAGATATCAAAGTCTAGCTCACTCTCTTCTCTCTCTCTTTGTCTGTCTCTGTCTCTGTCTCTCTTTTAGTGATGGTCTTGCTAGTAGCTCAGGCTAGGTTTGAACTTCTAATCCTCCTCTCCCTCCATGCATTCCAGGTATATGCCATCATTCCCTTCAACCCAGCAATCTTCGGAGTAGAGCTTTGCATCTTTATCTGATATATTCTTGGTTTTTAGTTTTGATCATGAGTGTCCTTCATGCCATCAAGGGACTTTGGATCCTGCCGACTGTTGTGAAACCCTTGTTGATTAGCTGGTTTTAGTTGCTTGTACAGATAGAAGTGCCGAGGCAGGCTAAGGGAGAGCAACAGCTTTCAAGCACCTCGGTTGCTGTTGGGTGATGTGGGCACAGAGTTATCCTTTAGAAGAGCTTTAGCAAGGGCTTCTGGGCTGTGTGTGTAGTTCTTAGCAGGGTGAGGCCCTGGCTTCCACCGCCAGAAACCTCCTCCCGGCAAAAGTCTTAGAACACACACATTCCAATGGAAGGTTTTGCCAGCACAGGTGGAAGAGTGGCAGCCAGACCTTACAGAGAGGTACCAGAGACCTAGTTTCCCAGAAAGACGGATTTCAACACCGTAGGCTTGACTGTCTGGCTCTGTGTAGCAAGTACCAAAGTAGATTCATCAAACAAATAAACAAAATGGTGTCATTCTTCCCCCCCCCCCAAAAAAAAATGCCTCAGCCTATCTTCTCATGAAATATCTTAGGGAAAGCTTGAGGAAGTATGCCATGTTATTGTATTTTAGTTGTCAAATACTAGGCAGGCCCTGACTGGGCCAACTTCCCCTGAGTCAGAGACGGTGATGAGCTTAGTTGAATTGTGTGTGTGTGTGGGGGGGGGGGGGTTGAGAGCAGTGGCAGCTGAATCAGAAGCCCTGTACAGCAGACCTGCAGTACCTAGGTGTCTGCAAAAAAGGAAGGAGCAGGTGGGAAGAAGGAAGAGGCAACCAAAAAGGAAACATATCCCTGGCCTGGGGCAGGTGGCAGGGCTGCTGCTACTGTGCAAAAGCCTGTACCATCAAAGGCAGCAAAAAAAGTAAAAAAAAAAAAAAAAATTGATCTTTGTTTAGATTAACAGACCCCTGACTATGAAGAAGGAAGGCATCCAGACCCGAAACCGGAAGATGTCTAGCAAATCCAAAAAGTGCAAAAAGGTGCATGACGCGCTGGAGGACTTCCCCAAGAGCAGCTCCTTCAACCCAGCCGCCCTCTCCAGACATATGTCTTCCCTGAGTCACATCGCCCCGTTCAGCCACTCCAGCCACATGCTGACCACGCCGACGCCCATGCACCCGCCCTCCGGCCTCTCCTTTGGACCTCACCATCCTTCCAGCATGGTCACCGCCATGGGGTAGAGAGCCCTGCTCCACAAGTTCAACGAGTCTCCGAGTCTGCAAAGAGTCCCTCTGACCCCTTCCACTTGCGTTTTTGCAGGAGCAGTATCATGAAGCCCGAAAGCGACAGATCTGTGTTTTTTGAAGGCAGAAAGCAAAATGTTTGCTTCTTTTTCAAAGGAGCTCCGGGTGGTGTCTGTGTTCCAACCACTGAATCCGGATCCCATTTGTGAATAAGCCATTCAGACTCATATTCCCTATTTAACAGGGTCTCTAGTGCTGTGAAAAAAAAATATTGCTGAACATTGCATATAACTTATATTGTAAGAAATACTGTACATTTGAGGAAGACTTTATTGTACCTGGATAGCTGTAAGAAAGGCATGAAGGACGCCAAGAATTTTAAGGAATATAGGGAAAATAAAGTATGGAGATACAGAAGAAACTAAGTCTGATGTCCAAATGGGCACGCTGTCAGTTTTGTTTCCCTTTAGTTGTTTGATGCATTAAAAAAATAATAATAATAATAAATGAGAAAAAAAAGAAAAAAAAAAGAAATAAAAAAGAAAAAAAGAAAAAAAAATCCAAGAAAAAAAAAAAAGGTTGTAGGCAAATCATTTGTTCCAGGCTGTGAGCTTTTACAAAGCAAATTTCAGATCTGGGCAATCGGTGTGAACTCTCACCAATTGCCAATGAGGATTTGAGAATGTCATGTCTAGGCCTACATGCTCTGTGAACCAGTTCCTTGTAATTGTTGTTTGTATGTATAATTCAGAAGCACCAAAATAAGAAAAGATGTAGATTTATTTCGTCATATTATACAGACTGAATTGTTGTATAAATTTATTTACTACTAGTGTTAAGAACTGCTTCTTCTTTTTTTTTTTTTTTTTTGGTTTTAATGTTTTCCTTCTCTCTGGATTTTTGGCTGAATAAACTAGCTTGCTCTCAGTTGATCTACGGTGGATGTACTCTGGAGGGTTTATTTTTCTTTTCTTTCTTTTTTTTTTTTTTTTGATGATATTTATTAAATAGCTTCTACGGGCCCAGCGGTACCTGTCTTTTTCGTCACTTCTCTTGCAGCCTAAGCTGTGAAGGTAGCAGCATACCAGCTACGCTGTGCATGTCAGCGACCTGGCCCCTGGCAGGCCTGGTCCTGAGAGCGACCTGGCTAACCGTTTGCCCCTGTGTGTTCCGTGTTAGTGATCACTGCCTTTAAACAGTCTGTTGGAATAATACTATAAAAATAATAATAAAGTTGAAATATTTTAAAACAACAAAGTACCACTGTATCGAAGTGATGGCTGAGCTCATAGAGAATTTTGTAGCACTTAGTTAATCTCAGAGTAGTTTTCTTTTTAAGCATCCCCAAACAAATATGTTAAGTGATTCACCAGGAGACCATGTGGCATCCATTCCTTCAAGGGGAGAATTCTGAGTCCCACTGTTGCTTAGAGCAATCTGTCCCTGGGTGGCCACAGCTTCCTGGGTCCTCCTGCAAGCTGCCTGCTTTCCTGGGGTACCACCTGGAGACAATCCCAAAACAAGAGTGGGCAAACTACCTGGCTGAGGTTTCCAGGTGCAACTCACGGCTCCTGGGTGGATCCCTCTGACACTGCAAGCCAGCTGGGTGCACGTCAGTTCGTTTCCATCTTCTCTACTGCTGAGTAACACCGAAGTGGACAGGCAGCCAGAATGTCTGCGCAACATGAAATAACCCTTTTGAAACCTGCCGCATTCCCTTTGCCCTGCTGTCAGAAAGTGTAACTCTGGCGCACACTTAAGAATCTGTTAACCACCTCTGCTTTCTTAGCAAATATTTTAAATCTAAAGCTGGATGTTGAAATAAAAGAGTAAGAGAACTGACGCACAAGTGGAAATCTTGCTGGTTCCTGATTGGTGACCAACAGTCCGATATTGTTTTCCAAGCACTTTTGAAGCACCTAGGAAAGAGGGTCATATTGAACCTGGGCATTTTATTGTCAGGTTGGTTCTACATCTCAGGATTCCCCACTTCTCTTTGTAAGACCATTTGTGTTAATGCCCTTTCACCTTAAGAACAAGGAATTCAAATTCTTGACATTCCTGGAGTGAGAAGGAGTAAGGGGACACAGAAAAAAAAAAATCCCAATACTAGCAAGCCTGAGCTTCGCTTTGTTTTAGGTAAGGTAGCTACCTCAGCAGTTCTTTGTCATTTCATCATAGCATACTTTGATTTAATTTTCAAAGCTGTTTCTAGAAGATGAAACAAAAGCCCAAAAAATATGTAGATAGCTAGATGATAATGGCTCAGATTTCCTTTGGAATATGTCTCTAGTAATTTTTGTTCTTATTTAAAGAAAGAAAGGCACAGCAGAAGAACCACGACATTGGTGAGGGTTTAATCTGGAAAACCAAGAAAGTACCAAGATACTTGCTGAAGTGTTTTTGAGCAAATTGTATCCTCAATCAATTTTCAATCTGTTTGATCTCATTTTTCAAATAAGTGTACAAGCTTAGCCATATAAGAATATTTGAGCAATAATATAGAGCTTGAAAGAAGGGAAGCACACGATGACTTGGTTAGGTGTTTCGTTTTTTACAGTCTCACACTGCAGACTGGGTTGGCCTGGTTCTCACTGTATATCCTGGGCTAGTCTCAAACTCGGGGCAATCCTCCTGACTAAACCTCCCTAATGCTGGAGTGACAGGCCTGAGCCAGCACACCTTAGTTAGCTCGTTAAAACACTTCAAAGGCCAACATCATAGTGGAAAAGAAAACAGCTCTGCTCTTTAGGAAGTCCGAGGAATAAACACCACTGGGTGTAAGTACTTTCAGCGTGGTGGTGCTGCCTCCAGTCGCAGCATGGGAAGACAGGCAGGTGTGCTGTTGCCCTCCGTTAGAGGCCTGCCTGGGCTACCAAATGAGACTCCAAGCTCAAATAAACAAACAAACAAACAAACAAACAAACAAAACCAAAACCAACCAACCAACCAACCAACCAACCAAACCAAAACAAAAAGTAAAGTACAACAAACAAATAAAACAAAGCTTGTCACTTATTCAACAAATTCCTATTGAGTATCTAGGTTGAATTTCATTTGAAACATTTTTTGAATGGAACCGCTCAGCACATAAAGATGCTTGTTGCTAAGGCTGATGACCTGAGTTTGACCCTTTCGAGCCCACACATAGTGGAAGAAAAGAAGGGACTCCAACAAGTTGTCCGCTGATCTCCACGTGTGGGCTGTGCCATGTGGGTGTGCACACATGTGTATGTGTTCACATTCATACATAATAAATAAATAGATAGATAGTTAGATCAATGCTTTTTAAAAACGATTTAAAACTTCCTTCCTTTCTTTCTAGATCAATATTTCTTCTCTAAGGTTTAAAGACAATTGTTTAGGAGAGATAGTTCAGTCAGGAAGCTGTTTGCTGTGTAAACTTGAAATTTTAGTTTAAGCCCCAACCCCAAAACAACCTGGAGAGGTGTGGTGGCATGGGGTTGTCATCTCAGGGCTAGGAGGGTGGAGACAGATCCTGAGACAGTTTAGCATGTCACATGTGTGTACACACTAATACACCTGCGCGCGCACACACACACACTTTTTAAAGCTTATTCTTTTTTAAATCTGCTTTATTTATTCATTTGTTTATTTATTTATTTATTTATTTATTTTGCAATTGATTCATTATATAGCTCGATTGAAGCCCCCTCCCTCAACTCCTCCCAGTCCCTCATTCCATCCCTCTTCCCCTCAACCCCATATCCTTTTCCCCTAGTCCACTGAAAGGGGGAATTCTCCTCCATCTGCCCATAGCTTATCAAGTCTCAACAGGACTGCCTGCATCTTCTTCCTCTGTGGCCTGGTCAGGATGCATCACTAGGGGCAAGTGATCAAAGAACAGGCAATTGAATTCATGGTAGAGACAGCCCCTGTCCCCTTACTAGGACACCCACACGAAGACTGAGCTGCCAGTCAGCTACATCTGAGCAGAGGGTCTAGGTCCTCTCCGTGCATGGTCCTTGGTTGATGCACCAGTCTTTGCAGAAACCCGTTGGCTCCGGTTTTCAGCTTTGTTGGTCTCTTTGTGGGGCTCCTGTCCCCTCTGTCTCCTTCTATTTCCCCCTACTTCCATAAGACTCCCTGCCCTCTGTCCAAAGTTTGACTGTGATTAGAGCTTACTCTTATTCTTTATCATGAGTGCTTTATTTTCTTTCTCTGTTCCTTGCTCCTTTCTTCCCCTTTCCTCTCCCCCCACTGCGACAGGGTCTCCTGTGGCCCAGGCTGCTCTGTCCTTATGTAGCCAAGGATGACTGTAAACTTCTGATCTTCCTGCCTTCACTTCTCAAGTGCTGCCGTCACAGGTATGTGCTACTACAATGGGTTTATGTGTTGCTGTGTATTGAGCTCAGGGCTTTATGCAAGCTAAGACAATACTCTATTACCTAAGCTACATCCTTGACCATTACTATTTTGAGAATTCTTTATTGGGAAAACTTGAAAAGTGGCATTTGAAAATCCTGGAGGGACAGGATCCAGAAGGTTCCAGAAAAGTCTGGTGGCCCCTCCCTCAGTGGTGCTGCCTATCTTATCGAACGCCAATTAACCTGTGCTGCCTGATTGGCAGTTCCACACAGGAGTCAGCATCTCTGTCTTTGGACTCTCTGCTCTTTCTGAACTGTGTCCAGGCCCCTCTGGAGCTGAATACATGGGACTTACTTGTCCTGCTGATTTTGGCAGCCTGGCTCATCATTCTCTCATCCATCCTGTAAAGAAATCCTGCCTGAATGGCTTATGGGCTCTTCTCGGACGACAGCCAGCACCCAACCTTTCTTTTTCCTTGTCTCTCTCTCTTTCCCATTGGAGAAGGGGATAAACAGAGGAAGTAAACTAATGTTCACAAAAGCGGTTCCTTTCCGGGTGCCTTGGCCATATCCCTTCCTGACTGGCCCTTGGCTCCTTTGCAGGGGACCCTGGTACATTAGCTACATTGTCTGTGGTGCATTTTTCAATCCCCTGTCATGTCTGTGTGCACGGTTTGTCAGGCTGAGCATTGGAGAGGGGATTTGGAGAGTGGGCCCCTTTGCCCCACCCATCCTGTTGACCCACAGGCCTGGGGTTGAGCAAAAGCCATGCCCTAGGAAACACCC